TTGATTCAAATTGGGCACTGACCATGGCTAGCCAGGGAGCTTCCCCAGGCAAGATATCCCTGCCAAACTGTATGTCCGCAAATAGGTGTCCCTTATGGTACTTAAAGCATGAATCATGTATTTTCATAGCCTCCTGTCCCACACCACACCCGTCCATTGTTACCCTGGGGTATGACTTGGCTATTGTGTGACCGCCATTACAACCCACTATCCATACGCTTATCACTTGTGTAGATGTCATATAATTGTGTTTTTAATTATAGTTTTTTTATTTAAGAAATATATGAATGTATATTAAATAAGAAAATTTATTTAAATACTTACAATATATAAGTGTGAGTGGACCTAGAGTCAAATAAATATACATTGTTTAGATATTTAGTGAATTTAAGTTATAATTATATTTATTGATTATTTTTAAAAAAATACTTTTATTTTATACATACTGTATATTGATAGTAATGTATAATTTATATTACCCTGTTTGACGCCCTATAGTGCGCCCCCACCGTATAGTGCGCTTTCATTTTTTACAAAAATGTATGTTTCTTACTCAGATAGTGCGCACCTACGTATAGTGCGCCCATATTATAACATAAATATATACCCAGGTTTAGATGAATGGAATTTAAGTGACTTTAGGACAACTAATCATCTGAGATATCTAGGACTAAGCTTAACCCAATGTGTAGATAAGATAATGAAATAAAATTTTTAAAATTTCATACAATATTGATTTAGTGATATTTGCCACATTTATATTAGTAAACTGAAAATCAATTTTGTTTAATAGTATAAATTAAGAGTTTAGTTATAAAATACTTTTGATGTGAAGTTAAATTACATTTATTAGTTGTAGTGAACTAATATTTCTACCAATATAATATAATTAATGTTAAGTGTTAACTGTGTTAGTGTTATTAGTGATTGAATTAATTTAGTTTTTAAGATTTTGAAGACTGATTTGTAATTGATTTGCACTTAATTTAAAATTGGAATTAATAATTTTTAAAAAATTATATACTGTAATTTTCTCAGATAATGCGCACCCTGCGTATAGTGCGCCCCTCTATTTTTCTCCAAAAAATCACATTTTTTTTCTCAGATAGTGCGCGCACTATAGGGCGTCAAACAGGGTAATATGATTTTATTTTAGTCATTTAATATTCAAGAGTTTTAAATATCAACATTGATATTTTATTTGTTCAAAAATTATTAAATTACATTACATGTAGTTAAATATTTTTAAAAATTTATTGTCTTTTATTTAAATATATAGTTTTTTATATAATTTTTATCATTAGAGTTGAAATACCGTTTATGACAAAATTCTTGTATAACTTTTCTAATTTTAATAATTATTTTATTCATTTATTATTTTTAATTATGTTGTTGTATTTAATACCTTTATTATATGAGAATGAAATAAGCTAGTTAAATTTACTTTTATAATACACCTTGCTAAAATATAGTAAAAAACACTCAATCACCACATTTTTGAGTTTTTAAGCCATTGAAATACATTATAACGAAATATAATTTTAGACGTCCAAATAAAGGATTTATATTTTTCAAACTCCACTTAAATATGATAAATATATCAGATGAAAGTTTACAAATATTTTCAATCAAATAAATTTGTTCAACTGAATTTAAACGTAGACATTTCCATTAAGTTAATAAGTCAGTAGAATTTCATAGCAATGTCTTGATAATCCATATTTTAGCTTATTTTTAAAATATTTATTGGATCTTGTGTTGAACTTTGTTTTGAAATTTAATGATTAATATTAGTTAAAATATTTATCCTAAGTATGAAAATGGTTAGCTTATTCCCAAATATTAATCCCTAACTTTATAGTGCATGGTAATGCATTTCAGTGGCTTAAAAAGTTAAAAATGTGGGGATTTAATGTTTTTGACTATATTATAGCAAGTTGTATTATAAAAGTAAATTTAACCAGGTTATTTCGTTCTCATATAATAAAGATCTTAAATTCAAAAAACAGAATTAAAATTAGTAAACTAATAAAATAATTATTAAACTTAGAAAAGTTGTACAAGAATTTTGTCATTAACGGTATTATTGATATTCTTATTGAATAAATGTAATTTATTATACTGTATAAATCTTAATTTTTATATATTGTAATTTATATTATGAAATACAATTAATTTTTAGAAAAATTTTAATAATTCTGTTTTTGGTTTTAATTCAATAAACCTATTATAATTTGTCATTACTTAAATATTTATTATATTAGTTTTACAATATTTGTATTTTTAAATTAATAAAATTAACTAAAAAAATAAATAATTATATCGATTATTATAATTTTACAGTTTAAACTTAAAATATCATTTAGAAATTTTACAATATTTGACTATTATATAACAAACTTTGCATAAGATATTATAGCATATAGCATGAGTTATAAATAAACACGTGTGTGATAGGTGCTATAAATAGCTAACTGTGCGCTTTGAGTTAAAAAAGTTTAATGTATGTGTAATATGAGAGAGAGAGAGAGAGAGACAGAGAGAGAGAGAGACAGAGAGATGAGCCAAAAATAAAATCCTCAGACATTATGACACGTAATGTTATGTAAATTATTATGTGAAACAAACTAAAACAGCACAAATTAAATATTTAAACTACAACTTACAGCAGGAAAATATCATGATAAAAGGTATGATTTATTAAATTATTTGACATATTTGTGTTAATATTATAGTTTTTATCAATTTGCTAATTTATGAGATTATTTTGTAAAACATTATTTGTTTAATATAACTATTTTAGTAACAGTATAATAAATAAAACAATTTTTATTAAATTTAGTATTAGTAAAATTAGTTAAATTTATTAAATTTTTTTAAATATAAGTTTTATTTAAACTGTAACATAATTTTAACATAAACATAATATTACTTGTATCATTAACATTTTGTTTATTGGAACAAGGTTTCTATAAAATTATATTTTTAATAATATTTTCTTATACTTATTGTAATAATTTACATAATAATAATAAACTTAAATCCAATTTTATTTACAGATTTAAAGCTTATATTCGGCATAATCTCCACAATTGTAGTGATATTAACATCGGTTTCCATAGAGATTAAGGACGATGAGCAGCACCTACAGCACCGACACTACGGGCCCGACACTGACCGTAAGGACTGGTATCCGTTGGGCCGGGATTTGAATAAATTTCAGCACCGCTTACGCCGTGCGACACAACTATTGATGTTTAAAGCGAGTGACGAAAGGGACTCAAAATATCACAAAAATGCCGATAAAGTGGTCAAAGTGGTCAAAGAGGTCACCAAAGAGATCAAGGATTTGAATAGAAATACGAAAGTGTATAAACAGCCGGGTATTAAGCAAAAAAGTAATTATTGTGCTAAGGTGGTTTGTGTTACGTTTGAGATTGCATCTATTTCATTTGTGTTGACATTTGGTTTACCTAAGCTATTGTGTAGTTATTTTTAAATTACATTTGTAGTAATAGGTTCAGTGATATTGAACCTGATTAGTTTTATAATTATTTTATTA